CAATTAGTAAGTGGCAGAGCCAGGATCCCAAGCCAGTCTACTTTACCCCAAAGCTCCCTTCCTAACCACCAGGCTGTATTGCCTTTGGACTAACTGGTCATTAAGATAGTGTGACCAGGTTTTTACATGCCCACTATACATCCTGCCTCTCGCAATGAAGACTATTTCTTTTAAAGTTGCATTAGGATTCAGTTATCAGATTTTGTTCATAATTTGGCCCATGGCCAAGATGACTTATATAATTTTCTGTCAAATTAAGTGGAGGTGGACAAAAAACATCCACTGGAACTCCCCAAGAACTGCTGCTTGGGGCATACAAGTTTGGGCCTTTGTTTAGAACTTTTGTTCTGAATCCCTTGAGGGTAGGGGGAATCTGGATTCAGTTTCAGCTAGAAACAGATTTGTTTGCTAATAATTGTGACCGTGATAGTGTGATGAGTGAGAGCTTTTTTCACTTGTCCAACCTTGCCAGTTTAAGCCCCCTTCATTACTGCCTTGGAGGGAAAACAAGAGGTCTGTGCCAAAAAAATCTGAAAAGGTGCTTCTCTGATCTTCTCACAAACAATGTCTTGCACAATTATCCCCAGATAGCCTTAACAGTCCTGCCAGTCTCAGACTGAGATATGTAAGGCCAAATGTAGCCTATTTTACATTTGATTTAAAGCCACTTCGAAAGTATAAGGTGCTTATTAGCTGAACTAAAACTATGCCATTTTATTTGTTGATGAGCCAAAGGCATATATCGTGGCTTTCTGGCTAAGCAACAGACTTTACCCTTCACCCAAGAGGCCAAGATGACAAAAACCATTGCACAAACCAGCCTACGATGCATTTAAAAAAAATTTCCCCCAGTGTAAAACAGAGCTATGACTCTAGCATGGCAAGCACAAGAGAGGGTTTTACATTTGATTAGATTCCAAGTGTCTTAACTACATGGGAAAGAGGTCCTACTATAGCATTACATTAATGAAGCAGAAAATAAGATAAACATGTAGAAGGTCCATGG